TAGATATTTTAGACTGACCGGAGGCCGTATTTACTACTAATAGTATCCTACATCTACTAATGTCTCAAATAGGTCCAAGTAGATGAGTCATACCAAATACTCAGGCTATTGGAGCCATCAAAGTGAATTTAGAACACTTTGGAAATATTGGAAAAAGAGCTTGTATTAAATTATTTAAAATACAAATAAAAACCAATGTATTACCTCAATCGATCTTGATATTTTAGACTGACGGAAGGCCGTATTTCTACACCTGCCACAACTATCTTTTCGTTCCAAACTGCCAGCTGCAAGGGGAGCATACAATTTTATACATTCCATTAACCCAGTTCCGTGTATCTATCAGATCCATACCATTTATTTATAAGGATGTTTTTGTGCTTATCTGTTCCGGAGTTAGATCGAGCTGTTCAAGCTTTTGCGCATGTACATTCTTATTAAAAGGCATGAATCACTCGGCAGGCTTGTAGTATATTGGTTGACAGAAGAATATCAACTTTACTTGTACTATATCCAGCTTATCTTGTTCGATTTTGGTAGTGCTACCATTACGCGTAATATCTAGACCCTTCTCTACTGATGTAGTCTCTCTATACTCCTTAAGCATATTGCATAGTCCCCGTGGTGCCATGCCAGTGTTCTCACATAAGTATGTTTTCATAGGCAAAGCTGCCAGAAAAATGGCACGATCAAATCCTAGATCACATATAGCTGTTAAAAATATTCGCTGGTGTTCAGTCAACTTCTTCTGTGGATCGTCAAGCATAGCCTTCACCGCTGTTCTTGTACATTGAAACCGAAACAGAACATTCGCAGAACCCGTCCGCCATCGAGAATCAACGACTATATTATCGCAACCAAGCACAATATAGTCGGTATCATACGCTATGATATAATCGACTAGCTCATCAACTTGCAAAGCAGCATACTGTTGCACCGCTTCATGTAGAGCTACAATAAACTCAATCCCTATGTCATTATATAGTAGCATAAGGTGTTGTGCAGCCTTGTACTTGTACGTAGGAACTGCACATTACAATTTTTTTTTTGCCTCGTCGAAGTTCTTCTTATCTATCTCTTAAACACTCGTTGTAGATGCTTCTTCGTGTCTTCTGCACGACTAGTATTTGCTAGTTTCGCTGCCTCCCTCCATCCGTCGAATACAGGCAGTGCAACTACGTTACCATTATCATAAGCTTGTATCTTCCTTAGAGACGAAACACAGAGTTGTAGGAAGCTCACATAGATTCTTTCCAAGACAATATCTGATGCACAGGATGCCGCACGCGTGTTAAAAAGAAAACTAGAACCAATGGCAACCACACCCTTAAAGCGTGACAGGGGTACTACTTTCAACAGTGGCTCTATCAATGGCTTCAGCCCAGAGACACTCATCTTAGCTCTTTTTAACTTGTGCAAATAACAATAAACAGACGTGTATATGTGCAGTTTTAGCGTGTTTAGTCAGATTTGGGTGAATATCAGTGCATGTGTATGTTCTGAAACCCTAAATACAGGGTTTCTTATCTAGTGGCCCTGTTCATTTTACGTCCAGGTAAAAGCTATATTTGCGATGTTTAACGCTTATACTCGTAGTTCTCTGGAAGTTCTACCTCTTCTCAGTCACTGTCTGGCCGTCTGCCTCTGAACTTCTGTGAGGACAAGTCTCATCATGATGAGAGCGAATCACAGAGAAAGGAGGTAGGACCACAGTCCGCAAGAGGCCAGGAGCCTAACCTCATTTAAAAGTTTTAAAGCATAGATATAAAAGTTTAGCGTTTTACGTATTTTTCATGTATAAACGTTGCAACGTTTTATACTACTTTTATGACCTGAAATTTAAGCTAATTCGACCTGGATAGATACGCCCATACCTATATTTTGGCCAAGAAAAACAACACCGACCAATGGAAAAAGCACGCTTTGAATGTTTTTTTTCTGTGTTTGATCTCCTGTCAACTTTAGCAACTGACCGACACATATACTGTAAATAGATTGGCGGGCTTGTGTGGCGCCAAAGGGAATGACCCCAAATATATTTTCAGGACCACAATATGAATATAAAAGTTTAAAAACGTATACTTATTGAAATATAAACGTTTCAGCGTAAAACGCAATGAGTTAGCCCAGGAACTCAGTAAGCTGAGTAAACTCGCTATTCAACTGCTTTAGACTAATTTTAACTAATCCAGTCAATCAAACGTCTTCAAACAATCTATTTAAATCTGAAATGCTTAATGTTTAGGATCGTTGGATAAACGAAAGATGCAGCATAGCGCTACTCCCTGTAAAGTACAGAGAGAGTAGTAGAGGTTTTTAAAACTGTTTTTTTTTTAAGTAAAATGTGTGACCGTGTGGCGAGTCCGGCGACTCTGGAGTGTGGTGAATACTAGATTAGTGACTACAGTCTCGAGTCTCTTAGAATTGACACTCTCTCCCCTGAGAGTGTCAATTCTACACAGCACTGAGTGCACTGATGAAAGCGACACATAAATATATAATTCACGAGTCACCAGCTTGACCGGGCCCGGTGTCACAGTGACAGCACTCAAACGACACTATGTGCCATTTTTTTGACATCCGAGTATCCAAGGAAACAAACATTCTTATTTCTATTTACAAGTATATATATTTATGTATCGTTCTATTTTTAAAAACAAAACAAAAGTAAAAAATAAAATAGCCACAACCAACCTGCGTCCTGCTCGGGAGTCAGGACAGCCTCCCCTCTTGTGTGTTATTTTCAGACGGCTAATTTATAGATGTGTATATTGTATCTATTCTTCTAAAAACAAAACTCGTTCGTTGTACATTTGATAGTAACAACAGACTTCAAACCCATATCATATCATGCTATTCCAACGTATATTCCTTCTCTGTGCCCTTGTGGTCGCCGCCGTATGCGCCGGCGCATCTCGCGGTTACAACGATAAAATCGAGTGGTACAGCGACCTAGCCGAAGGTATGTAGCAAGCATCACATAGAATACGAGAAAAAACTCGTCGATATGTACAATATGGGTACACGTTCATGCATTCTGTCAACACGAAAAATTATTAAAAAAAGGATGTCTCGCGCTATCTGTTTGTCTGGCTTAAAGTCAGGTTGTAGTTGTGATACTTCGAAGCACAGGTCCTGCGAGTGTACGTATATATGCGATTCCTCAACGCTCACCTCTTACCAGTGCTAGTCTCTTCATGAAATCTATAATTAACATCCAATTTTGATCACACGCATGTCCACATATTAATTATAGATAAAAACATGAAATATTTATCAGCAGGTTAATACGTAGATATCTTAAATACTAAACAATGTGTAATTATTGTTGCACGTATACTTACTACGACAACACATACACAACATCCATACACCCACTATATATACATATATATATATACTATACATATATATACATATACATATATATTCATATATATATATATATATACATGTGTGTGTGTGTGTGTGTGTG